CTGAATATATCTATTATCGAAGATTAATTTAGCTTCGAAAGATTGGAAGGAGGTGTGTTTTCACGTGTGGAAACCTCTTGGAAATATTTGCAATCTACCCTTTAACGATATTGCATAACACACACGCGCACATATTGTTAATTTTCGCTCCAAGCTTTTCATAAATTGCGCACCAAAGCAAACTAAACGCGAGTTAAAAATTAGTAATGTTCGTCTCGCCTGAAATAGCTGGAGAACCGCGCCGTACTGCAACCATGAGAATGTATATCGAGAAACCTCTAAAATCTAAAATCGAAATTTGCATGCCAAGAAACCGTTTTATTGATGCGATAAGATGTTTCCCTCGAACGGGATAACGTTAAACGATCCTGAAACTCGTAAAGGTTAATAGTCGATAAAAATGCGGAGGAATTTTTGTAAAGAAGCGGAAACCTTTTGTGTTAACACTCGTTTCGTTTACATTTACCTTTTGATATCGTATTCGATTCGATTTGAAATTTAGAACTTCATCCTAGGAAAAGTTCAAAACCGAATATTTTGTTCGAATTATTTTTATTAACCAGAATATTTGGAGGAACTTTTGCATATCTTGTCCATTTATGAGATGCATTTATCCTTAATACTCATCATACTTAATCATAATATCGGCAATATATCAAGAAGTTTCTTTCAAAAGGGAAGGCTTCAAACTTTCCATCCCTGAGTAGGATTAATTACCAGCGTCTAAACCAAGAGAGTATCTCGGGATCTAAATATAATACCGATTCCGAAATTAATGATGCATACAATGGCTTTACGCGTAAATTTAATCTCTCTCCATAGAAGAAGGACCGTTCGAAAATAAAAATCGTGATATTCAATGAATGAATTTTCCATCTTTCAAAGAATCATCTCCATATTAAATATTTGCAGGGAATATTATTTGAAGAAGGAAAAAAAAGATTATCGAACGATTATGAAGTTTCAGATATATCATAGATCGTTTCTTCTTTTTTTTTTTTTACGATCAAATTTGATGAATATGCTCCATTAAAATAGTCGTTTGAGTCGTAACACTATCGCGCTATCCATTTTTCGGCCACGCTTCATCGATGATCGGTTTTGCTTCCGTGGCTCGCCTCCACGAGATATGCAAATGACAACGTCAGATCTACGTACCGCAGCCGTGATTCCTTGTGAATATCATCGCCAACATCGCCGGGATAATTATTATTAAAAATTACGTTTAATCGGATATATTCCGCCACGTTTACAATGTGACAGGTGTTATCTTCCGTTCGAACGAATCCACTTCGTTTCAATCCGAAACAATTTCGTATAATTATTCTCTGCGCACGACGCGACGAATAACATTTGTATAATATCGTTAATTGCTTGTAAACGCGATGACAGCAATTATTTTTCGATAAGCTGTGCACCCTTTCTCGCGTGCGCTTGTATTTCCAATCATCGCTCGATATTTTCGTTCGTTTTATTTTTTTTTCTTTTTTTTTTTTTTTTTTTTTTTTTCGACATTCTAAAACCGCTGTTCAATTTCGTCGTATCGAGAACGAAGAAGAATTGGAGGAGGAATGAACGTCTACGACATCGAGAATACAGGTTACTCGCTGTACGTCGAAGACTCGTTCCATTAACCAATCTGGAACTAGAAAATAGGATGTTTTGCTCGAAAGAAGGGATCCTTTCAAAGAACAAGATAAGAAGAGTCTATTTTATTCGAGATTGTATAAATAAAAACATTTCGATTTGTCATCTTTGAAGCACAAATTTTTCGAGTGAAAAAAAAAGAATTTCAAGTTGCATAAAAATTTTACTTGCAACGAGAAAATCAGCAAAAGAATTGAAAAATAATTAATTCGATATTTAATTACGAGATGGCAGATTAACGATTCCAGTAATTGCAACTTGTAATTACGTGTAATTATTTTAATTAATAATTCGATACAAAAGTTTCGAGTAATAGTTTTTAGAATTAATTCGGCCACTTTTGATGCAAGGCACGGAATACATCACCTCTTGTTCCACTCGTAAACTTTGTGATCCGAAGTTTGGTTATAAATTCAGCGTAATTCATGAGATGTCGCGCTAAAATGGCATAAAGCTTGGCAAAACATAATAAGATAGTGAAATACTCGAGCTAATGGAACCGCAGAGACACGAGAAAATCGGAGCAATCCATTTCAGGTATAATGAAATTGCAACAGGTATGCAATTTGACGTAATTGGAGATAAAGTTCATTCGAATGAACGGAAAATGAATGGAAAATAAAATCCATCCCATTTCTTAATCTTTGTGTATCGAAATCGAGACGTTTTTCTTGAAAAGTATCTAATGTAACTTCGATGGTGGAAATAATATCTTCACGGTTCGCGTAGTAATGGAACGTTGTGAAGTCGAAGAACACGACTACGAGTGAACAAATTCAAAGATGCTCGTGAAATTTGCACACTCATTCATCGATGATAGCGTTGTTATAAAACCACTTTGACAATTAAAGTAGAATGGAATGAAATTCTTGATATCGAATTATCACCGTTTCACAGAAGAAGGAGAATTCGATTGACTCAGAGATAAAAAAAAAATTTGCTTACTGTTCTAATTGATCAGATCAGGAAAGTTAAACGAAGAAATTTGACTTCCTTTCCCCAGAAATTCGTAGATCTCTTAAAACGATATTACCTTCATCGAAACTTGTATATTCAATTTGTAATTAAATAGAAAATTGAAAGGAGCAGTTCTCTTCTTTAAAGCGTGGTGAAAAAAGAACGAAGAGATTCGTGGAAAATCGATAATATTTCTCTCCAACCAGCGGACTCTACAAGTTGCTCGTTGCGAAACTATTCTCACAGGAGAGCGATATGAAATCATAATATCGACGAATATTCTCGAGAAATCAAATCTTCGTTGTCGGTCAAGTTTATTTCAAATTAAAATGGCAGGAGAGAGAGAGAGAGAGAGAGAGGTCATATAACGATCAATCTGATTAATTTTTATTGTGCCACGATTCTCTATCGGACAGTCGGATATCGATACGCAGGTTTCATGGGACAAAAGCGAGGGTGGCATCGCGTGAAATGAAAAATGACTCTACGAATGAATGTGCTTTTCAAATCGAAACTTTCAATGACGAAAGGCGACAAAAAAGAATAGATAAAAAAAAGAGAGAGAGAGAGAAAATGAAAAGATTGTATAAATATCATTTCATTATTTCATCCCATAAATCTTCCTTTTCCTTTAAAATGATTTTTCTATATCGCAAGGATCGCTATTTGCAATTCTAACCTGCGTAATGTTCGATCTACGTTACACTTTGCCATTCTCGCCCACGCCCTCATCTTTCACAAATCTCATATTCTGTTTGCTCGTTCAGAGCATATAAACTATATAGTTTATTCTAATCTTGGCGCTTGATCCAAAGAAAAGATGCACCCTACAACTAACTTAATCTCTCGTTCTTGCGCTTAATCAGAAATTTAATCCTGCTTTCCTCTTTCCTCCCCCCCCCCCCCGCTCCCCCCCTCCGCCGTTCATTCATGGCTTAATTGTCACGGCCATTAATCTCGCGACGCGAAACTTCCTGCAGCGATTAAGAAGTTTAGATAAAATTGTGTCACTTTTGTTGAATTTCGTTTATCGAGAAACGATACATTTGTTTCGAGACATTTGCAGGATTTCTCGACACGACGGGATTTCACGCGTCTCGATAGAAGAAAAAGAAGAAGGTATGGCGGTCGGTATCGAAAGTTCATCCGCCAGACGGCGTAAAAGTGGATTTTCGAGGTGTTTCTACTTGGGAAAATATTGCACAAAATCGAAATACCCGAGCGAATATTCCTTCGACTTCTTTCTTGTACTCGCGAAAAATTATTCTTCCATTATTCTTTTTACGGGATGGAAGCAGAGAAATTTGAATCAAAGATAGGCGAAACAAGTATTTTAAATAGTAATTTAAGGAGTTTGTAAGGAAAGATTTTCTTCCGAGAAAAATGATATTTCAATGAAATATCGACTGTCGTACGAGCTCCATTTTTCTCCTCTGTTCCTTCTCGTCCGTCTATTTTAGAGAATATACATTGGATTTTCGAGCCACTGTCTCGGGGAATGATATTAAAACGTTGAGACAGAATTTACAAAATGTAATTTCTCGGCGACCGTCAATGACCGAAGAAAATCGTTTTCGTTTCTGACGAGGAAAGAAACCTTATTTCTTCTACGCGAGAAAGGATAAAAATTCTTTTCATCCTTTTCTTTTCTTTTTGCTTTTTTCATTTTTTATTGTTTTCTTTTTTTTTTTCTTCTTTCTCCTCACATGAAAACCACACGAATTTACGTGTAAATCACGTGTCGCTGCGAATGTATTTCGAATGCGAATATCCGTATCAAAGTGGTTTTTGTAAATTACAAAAGTAAAAAAAAAAAAAAAAAAAGAAAAAAAGAAAAAAAAGGAAAGAAAAGAAAAACCAATTTATTTGACTATCAATTCACCGTGTGGACACGGTGATTTTATCGTTTTATTTTTAATCTATATATATTTGCACTCATTCACGTGCCCGCCTCGAATATTCTCCGCTCGTGGAAATATGTCATATAGAAAATTGGATCGTTTTTTATTCCCATTGAAACAATATATTTAAGTGCTCATAACTAATTCCTTGACAATCGCAATACATAGAGTCGTCCCGTTTATTAATATCGCTTTGAATTTTCACATTTGCCATTAGTCAACCTATTTAAAAACTCGTTATCCAATTTTTCCACGATAGTTAACCACGAGTGGAACGACAATCTGTCGAAACAAAATCAAAAACCGATATAAACGTCGAATAAAATTTTTTTCTTTAATTTAATGTCCAAGATACGAGATGTAATATGTAAAACATATACATATGTATGCATCTGGAAAATTTCGATTTTTAGCAACGCGAATGTGACAGATGCACTTTCAAGCAACAATGGTGTCGGGTGTAAATGGGGGGGGGGGGAAGGAACGCGCCGTTTATTTTCATATACCGCGAAAAATATCGGGGAAAGTACTCTATGGAAACATGTACGTGTAAGAGGAGATGAATTGCTGCTGAGTAAATTGACAATGGGAGACAGATCGGTTGTGTTTTGCAGATGGCAGTGATCCTGAATGCAACGACGACCCTTTCCATGCAAGGAAACGAGGACGAAGAGGACGATAGCTACGTTCCGTACGACCAGCGACCCGAAACTTACATAGTGCCCGTTGTATTCTTATTAATCTTGGTAGTCGGTGTAATTGGAAATGGGATCCTGGTGTTCACCCTCGTGTGTCACGCCAGTATGAGAAATATACCGAATACCTACGTCTTATCCCTGGCTTTGGGCGATCTCTTGGTAAGGAAAAATCAAAATCTCTTTCCTTCCTTCAGAATAAATGAAACGAAGAGGGATATTTTAACGCTGGAGGAGGAAAAATATTCGTTGGAAAAATGTTTGCTCGCTTCTTTGGACGAATAAATAAAATGTTACTGTAAAATGTTCAAAGATTCACATATAAATCTGTGTATCCTACGAATGATTGATTGATTAATTCTAATCAAAGCAACGCGATTCGATTCGTTGTCGAATCTTCTTCCATCTCCATTACGATATTATAAATAACGCGTAATGGATAAAGATAAATGTCATATGGATAAACATAACAATATAAATTCGGACAAAGTTGGAATGGAATTTGTGAATATTCCACGCACAAATGATAGAAAATTCTTGCCAAGACGAAACCTTCTTTCCGATTCGATTGCCCGTCAATCGAAAAAATGTTTCGAAGAAACCGTGTCGTTTGTATCTGGCAATATCGAATTTATTCAGACCGCGTTGATAAATCTGATGCGAGCGTGTCCAGGATATATCCTACACCTTTTTACGTCACGATTTCGCGTGGGAAATAAGTAAACGTACCTTCACACATCCAAAGTGAGGAACATCCATTTCGCGAAACGATCGTCTTTCTGAACTTTCGTCGTAGATAACAATTTTCGTCGACAACGAGTTTAATTCGTGACATATTCGTGTTCTGATCGATACATTGTTTATAACTATGCGCAGGATGATCAATGCGATTTTATCATCCGCAAATATCGCGGATAAAAACTTTTGTACACTTTTTTTCAAGCTCGAAAAGGAGACGCGTGTTTTATGATTTTTACGCGACTATGAATACTCTATGATAAATTATTCGAGATGATGATTTGTTTTTATCCGATGACAAAAAAAAAAAAAGGCTTTTTATGATAATAATTTCTCTATGATTTCGTGAGGTATGAAAAATACGCACAAAATATTTGAGATAGAAGGTGGCAAGCATTGATCGAAGAATGTTTTTCTATATAAAATATCTGTCGGTGTGCTGTTCTATAACACGATCCTATGACAAGCTGCGATCTATTCAATTTGTCGCGAATATTTTTAATTGTGCGTACTCTATCACAGGCGTTCAACCTTTTAATTCAATTTAGCTAGAGCAACAACGAAGCTTTCATAAATGTTGATCAATGTTTCTCGCGCAATTATAAATTGTCGAGTACTATTTATTTTATTGCTTCTCGAATTTTGTCCCGCGCATCATGCAAATATCATTTTCATCCCCGGTCGGAGATTAGCCTTCTCCCACCGTTCTCCGTATCGTAAATACGGGAATTAATTAAATTTCGCGGCGGGATCGCGGAAAAATATTTTCCAATAATGATCCTTGAACGATGAAATTCTAATTAAACGTCTCGCTTATGATTCTTTTAGAAAATACGGAGTATTTATCGAAGCTTTATCAATCATAGGTGATCATAACGTGTGTACCGTTCACGTCGCTTCTGTACACGATTGAGTCATGGCCGTGGGGCCTGGCAGTTTGCAAATTATCGGAGTGCGCCAAGGATATTTCGATCGGTGTCTCAGTTTTCACTCTGACCGCGTTATCAGCCGAGAGGTAAGTTGTCAAATCCAGTTACGGTTGGGAAATTGTTGTCCCAGGGATAGGGCAGCTCTTCCAACTTTGACCAAGTTCCGCCCCATTAATGGACCAATCGACCGGTCGTTCGTCTGTTTAATCAGTGATCCAAACGAAACTTTAAACGTTGAATTAAAATTTCCCCTCCCCTCCTGTTATTAAAACTTTTAAAACGTCGGAATTGAAATTGTCGAGGAAATTCGATTGTAAAAAAAACTAAAAATGTATATTTACGAATAGAGAAGAAAAGGATGCCTGTTGCGCCGTAGGTACTGTGCCATCGTGAATCCCATTCGCCGCCATGTAGCCGGCCTCAGTGCAAAACCATTAACGATATTAACAGCCTGCCTTATTTGGGTGCTGGCGATTGTTTTGGCGATGCCAGCTGCCTTTTTCTCTAACGTGCCCACCGTACCGTTACAGAGTAATCATTCCATCCTGATCTGTAGTCCCTTCCCCGAGGAATTCGGTGAGTATTTCACGTGTCGATCACGAATCGATATCCCTCATTCGGCAAACGAATGTTTCGCTTAAGCAAAAAAAAAAAAAAAAAAAAGAAGAAAACTGTTTACGATCGCTCGTTTTATCTCGCGTCACATGCACCAACTCGTATTGTATATTGTCGTGTCGCATCGTTTCTATATGTTCTCTCGTTCTTCCGGATCGCAGGGCAGAGCTATCAAAAGGGAATGGTGATGTTCAAGTTCCTCGCTTACTACGCGATACCGTTGCTGGTGATAACTGGATTTTATCTGGGGATGGCACGACACCTCGAACTCTCCACTAGGAATATGCCAGGCGAGTTGTCCACCGGGTGTCATCGTATGGAACAAATTAAAGCACGTAAGAAGGTACGATGACACGTAAGATCCAGAATTTTATCGATAAATTAGTTAGCAAGTATAATATAGTTGCAAAGTATCCGTTAACTTTCGTGTGTGATGGATAAAGTGTTAAGCGATACAAGTTTAAATTGATAGGCGGTTAAGTCTCTCTATAAAGCAAGCCAAGTCCGATAATTTCTGAAAGGCCAATTATGAATCACCGTGGATGGAGTTGTTCTAAAGCATCGCCGGGATGAAAGCTATTACACTTTCCACATTGTATCCGAATGAAAAGCGACGGTCGATCACCTTGAATTACATCCACTTTATTAGACAAGTTTCGGGAACAAGCTAATCCTTCAGTTGATTCATTGTTATCGTACTATTTAATAATTTGTTTGTTTGTACACGATACGGAATAAAAATTAGTTGTTGCATGGTAACAATTTTTATTTCGAGAAAAATTCGCTCTCTCTTTTATTTATTTTTCGTTCCATCTATAAACCGTTTATTTATTACTTTCACTATTGAATAAATACATGGTGAAATATTCTGCGAGATAAAATTTTTATCGTATACTCTTAAAAGTGACTTTTTTAATCAATTCGATGCTCCAGCTCGGTTTGAATCATTCAACACAGGGTGGCATCGAAGCGTGGCAACTGGAGATACGATGAAACCTTTCAACCACGCTTTTCTTACTTTTACTTCTCCCATGTTTTCATTCGTAGAATCCATTCACCCGTTCCCTAATCCATTCCGATAACAAGAAACTATCCGACACTCGTGCCACTCGAGCTTCGAAAAATCGTGTTTGATTATCGAACATTGTTATCTCGTGGATTGCACAATCCGTGCAATTAATGTAATCGATCAACTTATAAATATCGTCGATCGACAAATTTAGTTTTTAGATAACGGGTTGGAATTACGCGTGGACGAAATTCAATTTAACCATAGTATCTGTTGCCAATCCACTCGAAGACGCAATCGAAATAATCGATTCATTCGGACGAGTTTCCGTTATCGCTTTTTTATTTTTCGCGGGGTGAAGTGTCTATACTCGTTCTGAGAAAACAATCCATCTCCGCGACGTTTTCTCTCTATCGATCTCTATTTGCTTTCGCGATAAGACGAGATACGTTAATAAAAGATAATTAGAAATAAAGTTTGGAGATTAAAAATACGTAATGATATTATCAATAATATCAAAAGTGGGAACCGAACGAAAGCTTATTATTCGAGGGATTTTTCTTTTAATGGCGTCACGCTTTCGATTAAACCATCGATCGATTTTCTCAGTATTCTCGCTAATGGATATGATCAACAGGTCGGCAAGATGGTGATAGCATTCGTAGTTATCTTCTTTATTTGCTTCCTGCCACATCACGTGTTCATGCTATGGTTCCACTTTTGCCCATCGTCCAAGCAAGACTACGACGATTTCTGGCACGTCTTCAGGATCCTCGGCTTCTGCCTGAGCTTCATCAACAGCTGCGTCAATCCGATTGCGCTTTACTTCGTAAGCGGGACTTTTCGCAAGAGGCGAGTATAACAGCATAAATGAACGATAACTGTGCAGGGCCGATCGAAAGTGAATAAAGATACCACGGAAGAGAAAGACAGACCACCTTTTTCCTTTTCCTCCTCTAATTCCTTCAATTGCAATATTTGTTGTCGTGTAATTTAACGAGACGACGATTCTCCATACGTTCATCACCTTTGTCACGATTAAACATATGTATAAATAACCTGCAAATAGAAACAAACAATTAAAGATATAAAAAGATTTGGTGTAAACAGAGAAAAAGTAAATAAGCACTCGGGAAATGTAAACAAACCTCCCACATATGTAAACAAACAGCTCAGAAATGTAAATAAACAATAGAGCGTGAAGGTTAGCACGACATTAAATATAGAATTTCGCAATTCATATATGCACTCGTATATATCAATGAACAGAGATTTTGTTTATAGATTCAACAAATATCTTTGTTGTTGCCTACCGAGAAGGAGTCGAAGAATATGTCGAACGGAGACGACGGACAGTTCGGATAGGAACAGTAATCGGGGAATAAATTTCTCGCAAAGGAGACGCGTGGGTAGACAGGACACGCTCAATGAGACCAGCTTTGGATCCACGTTTCGAAGACATACTCAGGAACTGAACTCGACGGCTCTCTACGAATTACCGAGCGAAGAGACCACGAGGCCTACCCGAGACAGATAGATTGTAAGTAATTTTTGAGAAAGATCTCGAGAAATACAAGGGGAGGGGGAAAAAGATGTTAACAAGAGTTGATCTAATCGAGGACCATTAGATTGGAAGTAAAAGATATATTTACGATGAATATTTCATTTATGCGATACGTGTAAAAGTATGCAAGGACTGAGAACGAAACGCGAATAAGTCAAATTCTTCGTTCATCGTCATTTTTTTATTTAATCGAATACCGATCTAAGAATGTTAAGAAACGTAGATTAAGAATTTTCAACGTTGTTAAGATCACCGACATTGGACATCTAGAGCGAAGATATTTTAATCGAAGGCCAATTCTATAGGAATCTGTCCTCGATACAAAGCCACCGACACTTTCGACCAATTTCCTCGAGTGCATCTGATATGCCTGTGTGATATATCAAAACAGGTAATACAAGCAACAGTATACGAACAATAGAACGGTTTGGCGGACGATGATCAACATTCTATTCAGTTTGGACGATTATCTTTCAACCGATCGATTGATTATCGGCCATGGATTTAGGATTTATAATCTCTCAAAGAGAAAACGCATCGATACCGATCGATCTTAGGATAAATTCTTTAAATTCTCTACAAAAATGACGCGAGAGAGACCAGATCGCTATTATATCGTTCAGATTCGATCGTTCAGCGAGTTGAGCGATACGAAAGAGTTAATTCAACGCGACTCCCTTACATACTAATCCCACCCCATTTTTTCCCCCTTCCTCATCCTCACTCCCTCCCTCCTCCCTTTATCACGAGATATATATATATATTCATCGATCTTGAATGAAAGGGCTCAACGAATTGTATCGCAGAGAGCTAAACAATACAAGAGAAGGGAGAGGATTCCCAGGCGTTATTGAATACGCGAGAGATTTAATTAGAGTGGCGAATGGAAGGGATTCTGTGCATTAATTGTGTTCTGGCGACCTTGCCCCCTTCGCCTGTTAATCGGGAATTCCTGTTTGACGTGCACCCCTGTTAACAAGATTTCCAGTATCGCGCAACTATTGGCCGCGTTTCCCTCGACGTGGTAGACGTTCCCAACGTTCAGATAACGCCTGGACGTCTTCTCGATACCCTCGATATTATAACCGTAATTAGGCCACGCATCGACGAAAGCGTTTCCAAACGAATCGATAGGCACGAATTATGCATTACGTTAAAAGGCCGGACCTGACCAACCGTGCCATGCGACTCTCTGCGCGTGTGCGTATGCGTGCGTGTGACTCGAATAAAAATTCATTTAATCGGACCAGAGCTGGTTTCTTATTCCCATTGAGACGAGAAGGTAACGCTCACGACTCGCGCGAGGACGTCGTTGCACCGAGTGCAAATAAACGAATCAGATCCGAGAGCCGCAGCCATCTCGTGTTTTATTATTCATCGTTGCAAAGATTGAAAGAATGAAAAATAAATCGAGAATTCCTCCCAATGGTGGCACGTAGTAGTAGTACTACTAGTAGTAGTGGTGGTGGTGTAAAACTACTAGGCGCGATCGATAAAAGAGAGAAGGAAAGATTATCATTTCCACGAGGGAATATTATCATTACCCTGTATCCTATAATTTGGTATTTTCACCTAGTTTGGTGAAAATCGGTGGTGAGAACTGGTCGAATCGAGATTTATCGTCTCTCCGTTTCCCCTCATTGGTGAAACTGGTAACGGATATCGTTTCCACGGCTGCTGTTCGTAACGTATTCCGTGGAGGAAGGGGCGCGTGGCAGCCGTTTTTATCGGGGCACGCGTCGAGCAAACAGGGGTTCTCGGTACAATGGTACACGCATCTGCAGGGAAGGGAGGCCCGTTCGAATGCAAGGGGCACACTTCCAAGGGTTCCGAAACAGGGAACTGTGGTGGAGGGGGTGAAGCCATGGCAAACCGTCACCCTCGCAATAGACTCTGTTGGAACAAGGGTCGCTACGATTTGGACGTGGTTAGTCGATGTCGACGCCAGTCAACGGTCTTCTCGATTCCCCGGCTACCGTATTCTGTGAAACTTCTTTTGGGGAGAGACGAAAAGGAGAGGAGGACTGAGGACGGACAAAAGGGGCCATTAATTCGGAGGGGAAGCTGTTCTGATCCGAGAAGCAAGAAAGAAGCTGAGAGGCTTAGGCGAAGAGCAGAAGGAATTATTTTTGACTGCTCTGTTGCTTTGTGCCCGTTTGTGAAAGGTCTTTTAGTGGATCGATGGTGAAGTTCCTTCGAGTTTTGTTAGAATTACGGAAAAGATGAAAAGATACTCGTCGGTAAGTGATTTTATGCTCGCAAGTCTCGCGCAAATTCGAGATCGGTTTTGATTGGTATTCTTTTGGAGTAGGCACCCTGTTTGACGGATGGAAACGGCGACAGCAAGAAGGCAAAGTCAGTCGAGGTAAATTTAATGAAATATGAAATAGCACGAATTTTACGAGCGAAATATTATTGATTCCGCGTTATAAACCGAAAGTGTTATAAATAAGGTATTGAACAGTGTGCATACGCATTTGGTGTTTATACAGGAGCCAAATGCCAGGGAGTATTTGCAGTTGGCGCTGGCAAGAGTGTTGGAATTGCAACGAGAGATCAAAGAGGGAACGTACATGTCAGACCGTACCAGCGATCTCGGTGAGTAATTTATTCGATAAATTCACCACCTTATCTCCCCCCGAGATCCTTGATCGTTAATCGATTCTTGGAACTTTCAAATATTTCTCTTGTCCCGACTACTTCGAGAAGATCCAGTTTCTCATAAGCGGGAAGTTAAACGACTTCGACAATATTAATTACGAGTTCGTGTTCGCGCTTCTAATTTCTCGCGATAAATTGAATAGGAAAGTGGAAAGAATTAACAGTTGGAAATCTTTCTCGCCAGGTGAATCCAGTAGCGAGGAAGACCTGACAAAGGAAGTTATTCGCAAAGTATTCGAGGATCTGCCGGGGACACCCGACACGGTTGGAAAAATAATGGAGAGGATGACTAAGCCGAACAATTCTCAACTGGACGCGATTCACGGTAAAAGAATTCAACTGTTGGGTTACGACACCTGCCGTAGAACTGCAATCGAGTTTATGAAGAATGCAGTTCGCGAAACTCGACGCGATGCAACGACAAAATCAGGGTTTCAATCAGGGTTTCGTATGGGAACTTACTCGAGGAACGAACCGAGGATGGCGCATCGTAGGACCGGTTTGAGGAAAAGTTCGATTTGCGATCAAGAGATTCGTGACAGGATGCTAAGGAGCTTGGATCTGCACTTGGCCGATAAACAAAGAGATTATACGGCCAAGTTGATGAGACTGGGCATGTAAGATGAAAGTTAATAAGAATTTCCTGTATCCTTGTACCTCTAATTAATCTATTGTATAATTAAGAATTTTTTTTTAGAAGTTTTTATCAGGGTTTTTGTATCAACGATGTTTGATCTAGTCAGATTTTATAGAGAGTTGTACCTGTCTCTTAGGAAATCATGTACTCTAGTCATGTACACTCTAGTCATCCAATATTGATCGTGAAAGTTGAGACCGTAAATTATTTTTCTACGATATACGTATACAAATGTGTGAATTATAAAATAGCTTAAAACTGAATCGAGAAGATTATTTCGTGAATGATAATTTGTGTACTTGAGAATTCATAGGTTCGTCGATTTTTTGTAAAAAACAACCTTTATTTATAATGTATAATTAAAAAAAAAAAAAAAAAAAGAAAAGAAAGAAAGGGAATAAAATAAGAAATTTTAAAGATATCTACAATACGATTTAAATACCTAAACGCTCCACAATCTTCCATTTCTTCTCTCAGAAAAATGGCAAAACTAGAAAATAGAAAAAAATGTCAAAATGTTCGCCAATGAATAGACTAGATGATTTTTTTTATTTATTTCGTGAAAATCAAAGAGAAACAATTTCTGTTCGGGGTCAAAAACATTTTTTCAATTTTTATAAAAAAATAATTTCCCCATTTTCTTTTCTTGTCTCTCTTATCGTTTCGTAATAAATATATCCGTACAGCTTCTTTCTTTTTCATTCTAATTCACATTCTGCATTCGTGAATCCTCGAGGATGTTTTACAGCAAATGCTCGAAGATTTCCACGTGATGCCTAATGAAATATTATGCTTATTTATGCGGTTTAATATACATTTATTAATATACAATCCTAACCGAAACGCATCAATCGATGAAAAAACGCGCCTCTCGTATAAAGTAATATCCGTGTCGACTGTTTCTCGCGTTCTCATAGTGGAAAATACTTTTTTAAAAGACAATGCACTATTAACAATTGTCCTAATGTGCGTAAAAATTCATATTTATCTATCACTTTCCTAACATTTCTACAAACAAAATATTTGTTATTTATTTGTTAACAGAGATATCGTTAATTTAATTAACAATTAAATTTCATATGTGCTATAGTTTCAATTGTCTAGAAATAGAAATAGAAATTCTTACGTCGTTGAAATTTCGAAGATAAGACGATTATTTTAGGAACTAAGAAAATGTCATAAGCTTAAATTCTATGATCTAAGTATGAAAATATGAAATATCTTTCCTATATTCGTTGCACTAATATTTATTCTGAAATTAAAACGAGAGACCGTGCTTCGCATCCCCTACAATTCAATCCTATCTACCTTTTCACATTTAAATGTACAATTAAAATATTTGTCGTATAATCTACTCCCTACGATATATAACTAATACAATATTGTTTAGATATATAATTCCTAATAAAACTAAACGTATATAGAGGGCTCCGCAGCAGGATATAGAATTGCTGCCAATGAGAACAAAATTCTCGAAGAAAAATTGAGTGTCAAAGAATTTCTCGTCAATAAAAATAATCGAAAATCAAAATCATCATTCTAAATAGAATCAATATTAAATTATTCAAGAGTTATTCGACCCTGTTTTCTTTTTTTCTTTCTTTTTTTT